AAGCAATACAGACTTTATTTTTGAAAGTAAAAGAACAAGGCCACCTAAAAGAAAAGTCAAATATTTATTTCATTCAAAGCCTTTTTGACAAATAAATTAATTATGCAAGACTCTGCATTACTTAAGCTCAATTATTTTAAATACTACTCCATATCTGGTAAGTTCATAAATACTGTTTGGCACACAGTAGATGCTCAATATTGTAGTTCCCTGCCACTTACTTAAAATTACATGAATAATCCAGAGACTTCCAATCAAGATGGATGCGTAGGAATATAAAAGCCCCTACTCTTTCTGCTCTAAAAACTTTAGAACAGAAAAACTATTAAAAATAGATACCCTTTCTAGGCCAATCATAATATAGATAGAAGTACAATGTACTGGGAGTAACCAAACAATCTGAAGAAAGAATTCATGTTTCCCAATTTCAAAAGTTATTACAAATCTAAGTAATAAGATACAGCACTCCTGGCATAAGGCTAGACATACAGATCAATGAAACAAAGATGAGAGTCCAGAAATACACTTTTACATTTATGGGCTAATAATTATGAACTGATTTTTCATCAAACCTTATTTAGATAATACTTTCTTAAATATGACATCAAAAGCAACCAAAATAGAACTGAACTATAACAAAACTAAAAATTAAAAAAATTTTGGTGCTACAAATCAGATTATTAAGAAAGTGAAAGGATTTCTCCATTTGCACTTTTGACATCAACAAAGAAATCAGCAAGATACTGGTAGCAGCTGCTCCTTCAGACCAAAACACCTAAACCTAATGTTAAACCTGGAATATAAAAACCACACTGAACCACAGACTGACTTGTTGAATTCCTAAGGAACTAGAAAAGGGACAATCTTTGTAAGACAGCCTGGTCCCCCAGTCAGCTTTCCAGATCTTTTCCCATAATTCGGCTTTCACTGGCAGTTTTTTGGTAAGAGAAGGAGGGCATTGAACAACCTTAGTCAGAAGTAATAGGCTCAAAAGCTCCCCACTGCAGCTATTAATGTCCTTTAAACCTCCAAGGGGTTTAAATACTTGCAAATCATGTATTGATAGGAACTAGTACTCAGAATATAAAATATTTTAATGCCAATAAAGAGAAAAGAAAAGTCAAACATTTATTTCATTTAAAGCTTTGAACTTCCTTGTGTCTTTGAAATTATGCAGGCATATGATATGAGAAGTAAGATACATCATGCCCATGTAGAAGCCTTTACTAGCCAGTGATTAATTTGCTCTCTCTTTCCTCCAGGCTCAGTAATGCTGGAGACTTCCGGAGTGAGGACAACATGGGAAGAATCCTTACCCAATACATGATAGGCAGTATGATTGAGAAATAGAACTATGCTATTTGAAGTCACCAAAATTTTAGAACTGATAATACTGCCTTACAACCTAGCATATTCTGATTGTAATGGGATGAAACTTGGAGAACTATGAGAGAAGGTGAGCCCATTTTGCATGTGAGAGGAACATGAACCACTAAGAGCCAGAGGACATGTGGTAGATGAATCCCAAAGATTCTCATCTCTTGGCATTCACATGCTTGCATAATACAAGTCTTTCCCTAAATGTGGGCTGAACCTGGTGACTTGATTCTGATAAAAAGAATGCGCAAAAGTGATGGAATGTTAATCATGAGATTTGATTACTTAAAAAAATAAAAATGTGGCATCTTTCTTGTTCACCCTGTCTCTCATTCACTCGGAGCCTTGGTCCAGGGAAAGTCAGCTGCCATGTGCTCAGCAGCACTACAGAGAGGCCTACAAGGCAAAGTATTAATTTCTATGGCTTATATCAGGTCTTAAAACTACTCTAATTCTAGCTGATACCTTGTTTGCAGTCTTATGAGAGATCCTGACCCAGAAATACCCAGCTAAGTTACCTCCACCTGTGACCCAGAGAAATATATGAGATAATACAAGTTTACTGTTAAGAAAGAAAGGAGGGCTGGGGTTGTGTAGTAGAGCACTTGTCTAGCATGTGTGAAGTACTGGGTTTGATTCTCAGTACCGCATACAAATAAAAAAAGAAAGAAAGGAAAGAAGGGAGGAAGGGAAAGAAAATGAAAAGACAACCCAAAGGATGGAAGAAAATACTTGCAAATCATGTATTGACAGGGACTAGTACTCAGAATATAAAAAGAACTCTTAGAACTCAATAAAAAGAACCCAGTTGAAAAATGGTCAAAAGATTTGAACAGACATTTCTCCAAAGATATACAAATGGCCAACAGTACACAGAGATGCTTAACATTATTACCCACTGGGGAAATGTAAATCAAAATCACACTGAGACACTGCTTCACATCCTTTAGAAGGCTAAATCAAAAAATATATACAAGTGTTAATGAGAATGTGGAGAAACTGACACCCTCATATATTGTTAGTGAAAATGTTAAATGACAATCACTTTAGAAAAGAGTTTGGTAAATACACAGTCACCTTACAATAAAGCAATTCTACTTCTAGGTACATGTTCAACAAAATGAAAATATACATTCACCCAAAAACTTAAAAACAAATGTTCATATAGCAGTAATATTTGGAATAGACATAAAGTAGAAAAAACCCAGAGATAAAACCCACAGTGAAGATCAGAGACTAAAGACAAAGGCACTAGGGATAACAAGACCATAAGCAGAGGTAAAAGACAGGAATTCACCTTCTTGGAGTAATATGGAAAGGGACAATAGCCAAGCACTCTGAGGGCTACAACTAGCCACCTGCCCATCAACCAAGTGCTGGTAGAAATGCACATAGGAAAAAAATAATTGCCCATAGCAGAGGTTAAGTATCAGAGAAACCTACACAATGAGAATTAGGCCCTGAGCATATCTGGGGATTGGAATGCAATTTCTTCAAAGTCCCCCTACCTTGTGATTATAAGATTTGATTCTGAAATGTGGATGCCAGATGCCAGGCAAAATTGCCCTATGAGTAAAAGCAATTACACAGGAAATAATACAAATTGAATTATTTCTTTCAAAACAAAACTTGCCAACAAATACAAAATGGGCTACAAAGTATATAAAGAAACACAAAGCATTAAAAATACTAACAAGGGACATATAATCAAATATAAAAATTCCTTGTAGAAAAATTAGAAAAAAACAAAGTAACTCCCAGAGATAGTTCCTGGTAGGACATTTTGCAGACAAAAATGTGATCATACACTATTTATATGTTAAGAACCAACTTTTATATGCCCTGAATATCCTATCAATAAATATAACAATATTTTATTATTCTATTCTATTGTTTTAATATACCAAAACTATAACTGATTCTCTATTGTCAAAAATTTTAACAGGGAATCATAGTAAATTTTGTTCATTAAAAACAACATTGTGATTATGTTTTTAGAAGTCTTCATGAATTAGAAATTCATATGGAATTACTCTATAAGCCAACTCAAATAATCTTGGAATTGGTTTTAAATTACTCCAGGAGGATAAGGGTGGGGAAATTACATGGGTAAACAAAGATTGGTAAAATGTTAGTAATTGTTGAAAGCAGATGATAGGTACATGAGGTTTGTTATTTTCTCTGTATTTGCTATGTTTGAAAGTTTCACATTAAAAAAAAAAAAAGACAATATCCTTTAACTGAACCATAACCAAAAATGGTATATTAGGTTCACCACTGTAAGGTAATTAAGCACTTCCATTTTCATAGTTTCTATATCTAATTATAATATTTGTATCTTATGCAACCTCCTAGAAATAAGTCATAAGATACAGTTAATTCCACTAATGTACAATAGCTGATAACAAAGATGTTCAGGATGACTGAAAAGTCTGAAATTAAAAATGTATTTGGCATAATCACAACTATTTTTCTCATCTAAGAACAGTGTATGTTATAAACAAAACTGAGTTGAATATGTAATTTGTAATGAGCAGTGAAAAACATCTCAGGTTTCTCAGGGTCTTGATTTGAAAAGCATTTGATTTTAGAATTCCCTTCCATAAAATCCCAAATATTGGCCAAGAAGAAAGTCTAGGCTGGTAGTGTAGCTTAGTGGAAGAGAACTTGCCTAGCTTGCACAAGATCCTGTGTTCAACCCGAGTCCCATTAAAAAAAAAAAAAAAAATGCCAGGGGCTGGGGTTGTGGCAGCAGTAGAGCACTTGCCTAGCATGTGTGAAGGCCCTGGGTTTGATCCTCAGCACCACATAAAAATAAATAAAATAAAGGTATTGCATCCAACTACAACTAAAAATAAACATTTTTTTTTAAATGCCAGGTGTTGTGGTGCACACCTATAATCCCAGTGACTTGAGAGACTGAGGCTAGAGGATCACAAATTCAAGACTAGCCTCAGCAACTTAGTGAGACCATATCTCAAAATAAAAAATAAAAGGACTGTGAATTTGACTTAGTGGTAAAGCACCCCTGGGTTAAATCCCCACTACAAAAAAAAAAAAACAAAAAACCCTGAAATTGCAGTCTGGATTTTTGCCAATTTCCATGCCAAAGGAATATAAGTTTGGAGGTTTCATTCAATATTTTCAAGTCTATGTTACTCCAAAAAATTTTAACAAATCTGTTAAAAAAAGAGAAAGACACAAAGGCAAGCCATGAAACTAGATATAACTGATATATCAATAAACACCTCCATGAAAGGTGTTTTCACAAATACACCCACAAAACCCACAATTTTTTTTTTTTTTTGTACCAGGGATTGAACCCAGGGGTGCTTAACCACTGAGCCACATCACCACTCCTTTTTTTATATTTGACTCACTGAGTTGTTAGAGCCTTGCTAATTTGCTAAGGCTGTCTTTGAACTCATGATCCTCCTATCTCAACCTCTAGAGCTTCTAGGATTACAGGCAGCTGGCTTTACAGGTATACGCCACTGCACCTGGTACAAGTTTTTATTATGTATTGATGTAAGACATTTTTCTATTCCTCTCACCTCCACTTCAATTCTTTAAGCAACAAAAAGGTTTGTAGCCTAAAATATTCAAAGTAAATTGCAACTAACCTTTATATATGCACTTGGGTAGATCTTATGAACAGCATCTCCAGGTGCACGTCCAGCTTCTCTGTCTAAGTAGTAACTCTGTACAAAGACTGCATGGTCACTAAGGCACCTGACCCAAACGTCACCTTCACCTTTACATTCCAACTGCACACCTTTGCCTATGTGCAACCTAGAAAGACAAACATTATATCTTAAGTATTCACAAATAAATTTTAGTTCAGATTATACTGCATATTCAATATTGAAAAATTAAAAAGAATAAAGAAAGGACACAATACAACACCATTATCAAAAGGTAACCATGGTTAACTTTTTTATATTTCTTTCTTCTTTTCCTATTTATATATAATAAAAATATACATAGTGCTTGCTATGTGTCAGGAACACTTAACATGAATTATAATTTAACCTTCACAACTAAATAAGGTACGTACTATAATTTCTATATCTTATGAGTTACACTGTCCAACAACAAAAAAATTAATTAAATAAAATGAGCCTTTTTTTTTTTTTTTTTTTTTTGGCACCAGGAACTGAACTCAGAGGCATTTAACCACTGAGTCACATCCCCAGCCCTTTTTATTTTTTGAGACAGGCCTCACTAAGTTGATAGGGCCTAACGAAGTTGCTGAGGCTGGCCTTGAACTTGAGATCCTCCTGCCTCATCCTCCCAAGCCACTAATATTACAGGTGTGTGCCACCTTTGTACAAGCCATATTTTAAGCACTCAAAAGCTACATGTGGCTACTGGCTACTGAATTGGACAATGCAGATATAAATCATTTCCTACATCACAGAAAAATTCTATCAGCCAGTATTAGTATAGAGAGTAACTTGCCAAAGTTAGATAGCAAATGTAAAACCAAGATCATGTGCATACACACACATATCCTTTAACAGGTGAGATCAAATAGCCCAAACTATGCATTTTCACATTATCTTTTCTGTTTCATTATATAAACATTTTAATGATTAAAAAAATTGTAATGATTACATAAAAATAGGTTTATCATAAACTACTTAACCATTTCCCTTTTATTACCAATTTTTCGATTTTTCATAACCTTCAGAAATATCTATTCTCATGATATATTATTTCCTCTCAATAGATTTGGAGAAAATAATACATTATCAAAGAAATTGAAATTTGGAATCTAGTTTTCAAAGGTCTAGCATTTAATAGAAACCTATCTTTTATCCTTACATATTAAACAAACATCAAAAATTAAAATGGAATACTTAAAAATTCAGAATTTTCAAGATAATATTTTTCCATCTTCATTAAATATAAATAAAGAAATAAACATTATCTCAAAAGATAATGTATGGGGCTGGAGTTGAAGCTCAGTGGTAGAGCACTTGCCTAGCAGGTAGAGGCACTGGGTTCAATTCTTAGCACCACATAAAAATAAATAAGTAAATAAATAAAATAAACATTTTTAAAAAGACAAATGTACTATGCTCAATTTTTTAAAATAACTATGGAACTATACAATCAATACCTCGCTCTTTCAATGGCTTCTGTCCTGTGGACATTGGAGAGTTGACCCAAGCAAAAGCGATCTCCTCCAGAAGGATCCACATATCCATCAACAGTTACAATAGGGCAGCTTGAAGGAACTTTAAATGTCTCTCCTACCTGAACATCCATCTCAAAGTAAGCAATGGAACACCAATACTCAGGAGCTATAGGAAATAAATAAAAAAGAACATCCATCCATTTGAATATTAGGCCTTTACTTACACTCCACAGACATCTTTTCCAAAAAGAAAGGGTAAAACAGGGGAGAGGGAAATGAAAAGCACCCCAAAGAATTGGATTAAAATAACACAGTGCATTCAAAAGTAGCAATTTCCATGTCTTCTATTTTCCAGCTCAGTACCCAGTACTGTTCTTCAAACCCTAAAGTCATTTTTAAAATCTGGAGTTTGATTAGGATCAGAGCACTGAAAATATAAGGCAACAGAATCTAAAATAAATTATTTTGCCATGATGTTTCAATTAACTGCACATAGTTTCTATGTTGTCTGAACTTCTATTTTTAAAAAAAATACACTCACTGACCCTAATACATACTCCAAAAAAAGTATTTTTGAATAATATCAATCTATGGTATATTTTTATAGATCCTTAAGAGAAAATATATAGGCAAATGAGCCATCACAGCCCCGAGTCAATGTTTATTTTAATGTTGTTGTACACAGGCATTCTCAAGTGCCTCATGTGTGAAAGATTTTTATCCCATTTGTATATAAATATCCCATAGCCAGGAATATTTTGTGAAGTGAATTCAAGTTATCCACCACCATTTTAACTTCAAAGGTGTATTTCATCTATTCATTTGAACAACAATAAATTATTTCAAATAATTTTAAATAACTTGCAGAAAAAGGAGTAACTAGTTTGGACTGCAAATACAATCAAGTACTTCTAAGTTTATCTGAATACAACAATTATATTAAAGCCATATGCATGAAAAATTATTTGGTTTGCCTCTTTTAGTTTGATATCTACAGAGCATGTGGGATCATGTAAGCATTTATAGTAGTAAAAAAAAAAAAAAAAATGTTTAGTCCCTATTTTCAAGGAAAAATGACCAAACAAATGAACAACATAGCTAAGGTAATGATAAATATCCAGAACAGTAATTCAAGAGAAAGAGCGACAACATGAAACAGAAAACAGACTGAGAAGAACACTTCAGCCTGAATGGTGAAGGGCATTCTAACTGAAAGTCTTATGTCAAGACTGTGGAAAGAGCATTTCAGAGAGAAAAGCAAAAGCAACAGCCCAAGAGTAAGAAAAAAAAAAAAAAAAGTCCAGGGACACTTACTATAGAATGAAAATGAGGGTGGTATAGTTTTGCCTGCAAATTTATCTGCATTTCAATGTGTTATTTATGAATTCTGAACTAGATACCTACAAAAGTTTCAACAATCTGAAAACATACCCAGTATGGGAGGAAAAAAATCATTTCAAACATCCTCCCTCCCCAGTCAGGGAAATCCTAAAATGAAAATTTTAAAAGGAAAAAAAAAATTGTTTAAGAAACTTCTGAAGACTAGCTATACCTAACTGCTTTTCAAAATTCTGTTAAGCAAGAGTATCTTTTAATAAAGAATAAAACAAAACACATGAAGATTGAGTGACTAAAAAAAAATGTTCAAATGTTTTGCCACATCAATCTAATGAAGTCATCACAAATATAAACATTTATTTAAATATATTTGTTATATTTAGAACATAAACACTAGTGATAGACTTAAGTATGTCCTTAAAAAGCCAATCTTAAAATATTTATACAGTTATTTTCTATAATAAAATTCTTTATTGAGGAAAACACATTATGCTGTATACAAGAAACATCAGCACACAACTGGTAGCTTACTGGCTGAAGCTAAAACTGAAAGGACCAAGATAACAATTACCTAATGTTCTGGCAGCAATTAACTGTAATAGTATTTAAAAGTGGTCTTTAAGTAATTAGTCCAAAAGGTAAATGTTGCAAAAGTTTATATTGCTACACAGGGGAGGAAAAAAAGGTTCAGGTACAGTGAATTTCCTAGTTTCGATTGAAGAATATTACCCAGAAGTAAAAGTCCCATGGTAAACAACCTTTTTTTCTTGTGAGAGTCAACTCAATGAGGGAAAAAGGTGAGATTTGTAGCCTCCATGTTTAAGAAAATATTCTTTCACCATTATCAACTGCAACATCTACAAATGCACTTAAACCTAATTTCTTCCCCATCACCAAAAAACTTTTGTTTTTTATTTGCCTAATATTTCAGACACTATATAGCAACAATCATCATGCAAAACTGCATCTCCAAACAGGTTTAATAAGAATGAGCTGATCTGGATTGCAAATACAATCAAGTATTTGTAGATAAAAGAGGAGTTTTAAGAGACTTGAGAATAAAAAGAAACTGCCACTAATATTGTACCACAGACCAGGGATGGAAACTAAAGGTCTAGGAAACCAGGACAGAGGATTAGAAGTAATCTAAGTGGGCTCCAGAGATTTTTGTGATGTTAGGCTACAAAATACTATAAGAAAAACTTCTCTTCCACTCTCAATTTGCTAAACAGTCAGACAGGAAAATCTTTATTTTTAAAACAGTAGAAGGAAATAGAAAATTGCCATTAAACCTTTCTGTTTATCTGTAATATTTTGGGTATGAAGTGACCTTCAAAACAAATGCAAGAATGTTCAGAGGTGAAATGATTATAGATTATGAGTTGACTGACCCTCTCTATTAAACTTTAATGGATTAACTGGGAGGTAACTGTAGGCAGGTGGGGTGTACCTAAAGAAAACAGGTCACTGGGGGTGTGCCTTTGGGGTTTATATTTTGTTCCTGGCACCCAGTTTTTCCCGTGATTCCTGACTGTCATGAAATGAGCATCCTTTCACCATGCCCTTTCTACCATGATGTTCTGGAACCTTGGTCCCAGAGCTATGGAGTCAGTCAACCAAGGAGTGAACCTTGGAAACAAAAAGCCAAAATGAACTTTTCCTCCTCTAAATTGTTCTGCTCAGGTATTGGTCACAGTGATGCAAAGCTGACTAAAACAGCCTCTTTCCACTCTTTCACCCCAACGAACAAATGCCATATAAATATCAGCTCTGCAGCTTGTCAAAACCAGCAAGAATAGAAGGCTGGAATTACTCAATTCAAAGAGGTTATTCTTTTTTTTTTTTTAATTTTTATTGTTGGTTGTTCAAAACATTACATAGTTCTTGATATCAAAGAGGTTATTCTTAATGTTCCAATTCATTTGAAAGGGACTGAGAATTTTATGTGCTTACTTTGGTATTTTAATTTTTTCCCCTTAAATTAGTGAAGTTAAGCCAGTCTCATTTAGTCTGAGGGGTGCTCATCACTGCCAGGAAAAAAAAAGGTTTTGAAAGACTGAGTTGGGCTAAGGATATATAAGTCAGTGGTAGGGAGCTTCCCTAGCATCTGCAAAATCCTGGGTTCAATGCCCAGCACTGTGATAAAAAGATATTGAGTTAACATAAATTTTTTATAATTAAGAATGTAATATATATTACTAAATATTTCTGTAAGGGGGAAATGTATTATAAAGCATAGTTTTAACAAGTAAATGTTGTTCAATTATAATGGAAAGTATGTTTCCAAGATATTATCTCTAATATATGAATAAAAATAAAGTCATTCAAGACAAAGTTCAAAATCTGAATACCTAAGAATCACGTTATGAATTATTCCTTTTATTATTCATATCTGAATGAAATGCCCTGTGAGAATCTTATGAATATATAAGGTGCTCTCTGGAATGGTGGATTGCTCTAAAGTGCCAAAACATATCTGAATTTGTCAAGTTAAGGGTTTCAAATCCATTTGCGAATTTGAACACATCCAACCTGAAAGACACTGAAGAAACATTTTACTTTAAATTGCAATCAATATGATGAATATATCTCAACTGAGGCAGGAGGATTGTGAGTTCACAGCCAGCCTCAGCAACTTATCGAGGCACTTAGCAACTCATCAAGGCACTTAGCAACTCAGCCAGACCCGGTTTCTAAATAAAATATTAAAAAAGGGCTGGGAATGTGGCTCAGTGGTTAAGACCCCTAGGTTCAATCCTCAGTACCAAAAAAGAAAAATAAAAGATATGGAGTGATTAACCTTTTCCAAATATGTAATTTTTATTTCTTTTCTGTTTGTTCACTAAATGAGGACAGAAGACATGTAAACTAGTACTTAGCATTATTAGAAAGCACTAGGTAGCAGGGGACAAAGGATTAGTATTCTCAACAGTGGTGTGCTTGAGCTACATTTAGGAGGGCAGTTCTACAGAGAAGTCTATATGGAGAGAAACTGGAGCTTCCTGCCAATGATAACACAAACTAGACAGGTATGGTGGTAAATCACCCTAAAAAGGAAACTTCCAGCCCCTAAAAAGCCTTCAGATGGTGACAACAACTTTATTGCAACTTCATGAGACTTCAAACCAGAAGTACTCAGCTAAACAAACTAATGTAACAAATTTCTATAACTGTTTTAACTTCTCAAGTTTGGGTATTATTTGGTATAATTTGTTGCACTGCAAAATATAGTACTATAGAACATATAATACATATGCAAAACATAACATATACACTAAAAAGGTAGAGAGGAATGATATACCCTGCAAAATTAGGTAAGTAGTGCAAGATGTTTAAAGTATGAAGAGAAAGAGCTAGAGAAGTATGCAGGGACCAGACCAGAAACTCTCCTCTGCTTTGCTAAGGAATGTGGACTTTAATCCTATGGCCAAGCAATGAATAGGTAATAAACTGCTACTCAATACTTTTAAAATTTGAATATAGTTATGTTATTTCTCTTGAGCATTACTTGGTAAGGAGGAGGGTACCAAGACTGAAAGCTCTCCTATCAGAGAGACCAGCATGAATATTCTTTCTAAAAGTATAAGAAGAGACATCAAGAGTCACAGTTATGAAGTAAAATTCCTTGGGGACCCATTAGTATCCATAGCCAAAGACCATCTATCTCAGTTCTAACCTGCTGACTTCATTAAAATGTATATACATTCAATCCCCAGTACTGCAATAAATAAATAAATAGTCAGTATATGCAGAGCTAATCTCCTCCTACAACTAGCAGGACAGAGATGGCTCAGGTTTAAGTCACTTCCTTAGTCTACTGAAAGACAAAGGCAACAAATACCAATGCAAATTGCTATGGATTCATATCCTCCTCTAGTAAATGCTATTCCCTAAATACCAGAGATGGTATGGCCTAAACATTATAAGAACAAAGTCAACCTATCAAAAGGTCAAAGGAAGGGGCTAAGGTTGTGGCAGTAGCGTGCTCACCTAGCACATGCAAGGCCCTGAGTTCAACAAGTAAACAAAATAAAGGTATTGTGTCCAACTACAACTAAAAAACAAATATTTTTTTAAAAAATCAATCTGCAATGGAGTCTATATCACTAGCTAAATACTACTACCACTACTCCCACTCCACTATTCCATCCAGGGTAGGTTCTTCTCTAGATCCCCGACTATCCATGTTCCCGGAGACCATCTCCCACTAAGCTACTGAGTCTCCAAAGGTGGTAAGAACCACTACTGATTTTTAATGATGCTACCTCAGTGCCAGCAAAACTTTTCATTCTTAAGGCTCAACATTTTCTCCTTACCATTATATACTTCCTTTACACAAAAATTAAGATTGTGAAAAAATGATCCAATTTATATAATTTCAAAAACCAGTAAAACCAAACTGCTAAACTAGGTTGTTTAGGGATGCTTCTTCTTCTTCCTCTTTTTTTTTTTTTTTGGTACTGAAGATTGAACAAAAGAGCACTAAGGTATATAACTCCAGTCCTTTTTAGTTTTTGAGACAGGTTCTAAATTGCTGAGGCTGACCTTGAACTTCCAATCCTCCTGCCTCAGCCTCCTGAATTACAGGCATATACCACTGTGCCCAATAAGCACACATTTATTACTTTAAAGGAGCAAAAAGAAAAAAATGATATGCATAAAAAGCAGAATAGTGGTTACCTCTAGGGAGAAGAGAGGAAAAATTTTCAAAATGTAGATAGGAGGGTTTCTGGGGTACTACAGTATTTTAGTTCTCAATCTGGGCAGCGGTTATGTAGGTGTTGGCTTTAATATCATTCATTAGATGATATGCTAATGTTATGTTCTTTTCTATATATTACATTTCTCCAAAAACTGCTAAAGAAAAAGCAAGGCCACTTGATCCACAAAAAACGTTTAAAGTCATAACAAATATACCATAACACATACAGAGAATATCTATTAAAGAAGATAATTAAACTAGTATATACATAAAGTTTAAAAACTGGTTTTGGCCAGGCACAGTGGCTAACACTTGTAATTCCAGCTACTCAGGAGGCTGAAGCAGGAAGACTGCCAAATTCAAGGCCAGCCTTGGCAACTTGGTGAGACCCTGCCTCAAAATAAAAAATAAAAAGGTCTGAGGATATAGCTCAGTAGAAGAGCACACCTGGATTCAATCCCAAAAGCCACAAAAAAAAAAAAAAAAAAAAATCTTTCTGTCCCACCACCATCTCCTAACGAAAATAAATATTATTTACCTCATTAATCATTAAGCATCGATTTAACCAGTTAAATTTACTGCTAGTGAGCATGGTTAAACTAATTCTCATAATCTTGATGTTGTCACTATAAAGCAATTTGACCTTTGGTCCAGAAATTATTAATTTCTTAAACAAGGATAGTCATAAACAAAAAAATCTTCCCTTCAATTATTTTTAAACAGCTGAAAAAAATGGAATCAGCAAACATAATCAGCAACAGCACACTATTTACACAAATAAAAGTATGTAGAACTACATGAACTATAAGTTATCCTTTAAATTAATCATTTTGGTCACTGTGGTTATACATTTTTAGAATCTTTATTGGAAATCTATACAGTTGTCCTCCAGTATCCATGAGGGATTGTTTCCAGGGTCCTTTGTAGATATCAAAATCTGCAATGCTCAAGTCCCTTATATCATCTTCCTGTATACTTTAAGTCATCATGTGTAGGTTATATGCAAACACTATGCCATTTTATATAAGGGACTTGAACATCTGCAGAGTTGACATCTGAGGGGCATTTTGGAACCAACCTCCTACAAATACAAAGACACAACAGCATTCTCATCTTTTTAAACTAAGAAAAATCATTATGAAGGGATGAAGGGGGAGGGGACACAAAATCCCGTGTTTGCATTATAGGGGAACTTCAATATTTATTTTATTACTTTGTTTTATTCTATGATTGAAAAAAAATCATGGATAGGAAAGGCAGCAGAACACAACAGACACTAGTATGGCAATATGTAAATCAATGGATGTGTAACTGATGTGATTCTGCAATCTGTATATGGGGTAAAAATGGGAGCTCATAACCCACTTGAATCAAAGTGTGAAATATGATATATCAAGAGCTATGTAATGTTTTGAACAGCCAACAATAAAAAATTAAAAAAAAAAAAAGAAAAAAAATCATGTACAAGCTCAATTAAAGAAAGCTACTTAGCTACTTAGTCTTCTGAACATAATTTAATCATACAGTTTCTAAATTCCAGTTAAGGAAAGATTCTTGAAATCTTTCTTCTAAGACAAAATACAATGAATTATTTTTCTTTTCAGCATCTATTTAAGATTCTTTCTGCCTTTTAAAGCTACAGTTTTACAGTGGTTCTATTTCAAAACCTAGCTTTATTCTACTGTATATTTATGTATCCAATGCTGAAACCAGCACTTCTATACTTTATATTTTAGTTGCAAACAGAATTCTTCTCTTTTCTTTTCCCTACCTTTTTTTCTGGTAGTGGGGGTGGGGGAGGTACTGGGGATTGAACTCAGGCATTCAACCACTGAGCCACATCCCCAGCCCTATTTGGTATTTTATTTAGAGATAGGGTCTCACTGAGTTGTTTATCACCTCGCCATTGCTGAGGCTGGCTTTGAACTCGTAATCCTCCTGTTTCAGCCTCCTGAGCCACCGGGATTAGAGGCATAAGCCACTGCACCTGGTGTTGTCTTTTCTTTCCAAGACAGTTAAAATGAATCAAATATAGCTGGGCATGATAGTCCACATCTGTAATCTAGCTATTCAGGAGGCTGAGGCATAACAGGAAGATGTTGAGTTCAAGGACGCCTGGGCAAAATAGCAAGGCCCCACCTCAAGGAAGAGAAAAAAAAAATTATCAAATACAGTCTATATATGATTTTATTAGCTACTCATAAATACTTAACTCACATAATGAGTATTACACTTGTCTGAAAAGCTAACTTACCTGGTAATTACGGTAACACCTGTATGTGTATTCCAATTACCACAATGGAAATCTAAACAGAGGGAATCAATTTTGAAACACACTTACCAGGATGATTGGAAATGGGAGGCTGGAATGCAAGCTCATTGTGAACTGGCCCTAAAGAAAAGACAATAAAAATCCCATTTTTATTTATTAAAAGTTTCCCAATGCTAAAACTTTTAATAAATCTTACTATTACCTTATGATTTGTTAAAATCAAGCTTAAACAATTTCTAAAACTTAAAAGCTTAGATTAGATTACTTTATAATTATAAGCAAATACTTCTGAATTACTTTTGTGGATATTTAATAACTAACACTTTAGTGCTATCTGCCAAATGCTGTTAAGCAATCTACAAATAGTTTTATAAGCAATTTGCAAATAATTTTTCATGCAGTATTTAATGCAGATTATAAATGAATTATTCATGTAACATGTAATATAGAATAATTTATAAGAAAATACATAGTAATAATTTAAATCATTAAAACTATTCTAAAAACAAGACTATATTTATTAAGGATATTTATATAATGGAATAGTAGCTAACAACTGCAAAAAAACACAGGTGAATTATTACATTTTCTTACAACACTATTGAGTACCCTTAAGGCTTAATGAGGTTAAATAAGTTGCCAATGATCATACAGCATAACCCAGCACTCTTAAACACTATGCTGATCCAGGCAGCCATTAAAACTATATTATTTTAAGACATGGAAAAACAGTAATATAATTGGGAAAAAAGCAAATTATAACAATATACATATAATGTGACCAACCCTTCAATTTACATATACCCATTTATATGACTGGAAGAAAAATAACAAAATATCAGAAGCAGAGATCTCTAGGTAGTAGGATTTTAGGTTATTTTAATTTTGTTACTTATACCTTTTGATATTTTAGAGGTTTTCTTTGGTACTACTAATCTTTAAGTAAGAGGAAAGAGATTTTATATATATGGAAGATTTATACTCCTAGTTTTAGTAAGCCACATGTAAGATGTTCCTATTCTGACTGAAACCATAGGCTATCTGTAGGGTACCCCTCCCAATCATGCCTGCACAGAATATTGACAGATTATAAACATCTAAGTATCTATGGCACTGAATACTATGGCAAGGGACTGTTGAGAATGTAGCACTCAAGATGTTTCAATACACTATGGGTGGATATACAACATACACATGAGGTTTAAGGAGAAACAGAAAGCAAACAAATGAATGGAATCAATGTGGTGTTGTGTTAATGAAACATCAGCAACAGAGAAATGCATATTTAGTATACATCATTCTAAAACAAAGTATGGTAACTACAAAAAAAACCCTACTTAATAAAAATGCTAAAAAAAGTAATGAAAGCACTAATTATTTAATGAAATTAAATTGTAGGATAAATAAAAGATGTAATAACATTAAAAAAATAAATAAACTGAAAGCAAAGTCCTACAAAATAAAAAGTCCTTACAACAAAAACAAGAGCTTACAGTAATGTCCGGGATGGGGCGGCATAGGCGGGTGGTGCTGAAGATGGCCGTTTTGGTGGTGAGGCAAATTAGGTGTGTATGGAGCAGTCCTACTTCCAGTCCAGGTGGTAGTGCTGTCTAAAAATTAAGGCCCACATGGATTAATTTGCTTTTATAAAGGCTGCCTATTTTTCTCAACTGTTTAAAAGATTTTAAAAAGCATGTACATACTATGATGGTAAGTAGCTGGCTGACCAGTAAATCCATTCTGCTGCTGTCCTGGCTGAGGCCCTGAAGCTATTTGCAACAGTCCTTCACTATGACTACCTGCCAGAATACTGGCAGGCTGACCTAGAGAAACAAGAAGAAATTAACATGGTACACGTACAGATGCAATCCTATGATTTTATACAATTAATGAAGGACCAATTGTATCTGATAATCCACAACTATAAAGATGAGTTCCAAAAGTGGAACTCACCCATTGCCTATCAAATAAATAAATAAATAAATAAGCTAAAGTCAGGTTTAAAGGCAATCCTTAATTTTAAGAAGTTCAAAATTATTTCATCTGATACTGTCTGACTAATTTTAATGGCCGATTTCTTCACAAATATTCTTCAAATGCTAGCCAAATCCTACTACTTGTCTACACTACCATAATAAGTTAAGAAACACATCAGTTAGCCACATCACCCAACTCTCTCTGGATATTTTTTAATTAGGACCTCTAAAACCCAGGTTCAAGAAAATGTTGAAATCTAAAAGTTAATTATTATCAGCACTAGTACTGGTAATGGCAGAAGGCTAGAGTTTGATAAAAGAAAAGCAGAGCAGACAAATATTTTAAATGGGATGCAATGAGGAAAGTGAAGAAGTTAAAAATATCTAACTCTACTGTGCAATCAAGTCAATATAGTATTTGGTTACAAAACAAAACAAAAACCCTATCCATCTACTTTGAAATTTTTCCATGTGCTTTTAAAAACCAAGAATTATGCATTTTCACAAATACCATCATAATTCCCATATTTATATGAAAGCAGATGCCCTCTCTCAACGCATCATACCAGGAAAATTAAAGCTTCCCTTGGTTTTTATTCTACTCAAAACATTCTATGACATTGTTTACTGTCTGGCATTTTTAAGGCTTTTTCCCCCACCTTAGGTGGAAAAGATTATTTCTTAAAGTATTAATTTTAAGCACTAACAAAGGTACCAAAATTAATTTTAAGGCAATTGTTTATCCTATTTAGAAAGCTTTGAAATTCCCTATGTTATTTGTGACTGGATCACCTCACTCTTCTCATTTAGATGGAAATGTAATCAAATGGAAGAGAGTAAATGTCAACATTACTCAAAGTATCAAGAAAAAAAGGCATATTTTCCTCCTCTCTACATATCACATTTTTATAAAGCTAAGAACTATAAAATCAAATGCTAAAGAAAATGTTTCGATAACCCTCAACCTGTTTATTTTTAAAGATGTTCCTAAATCATCCCAAAAAATTATCTTAAGTTTTCTTTAAAGGTCAGTTATGTTTTTGCTCTTGGTTTTAACACCTGTACAGACTATGTGCTCTTAGTTAACTTACAAAAACTGTCACTAAACTGGAGAAATTAAATTATTTTCATTAGAAGTATCTAAAAAGAAACTCTGAAGATTCAAGTGCCAAACTAAACAAATTATAAAGTGACAAACTACAGTCATCTGTATTGAATATTTATATTACATAGTTCCAAGTGCATCAGATAAACAACATAATGAATATAATGAAATTGGTTCATATAAAATAGCCTCAAATTCCTCTATTTTAGCCAGTTTCTTTTCTGTAATTCTATCAATATATTTTTTGTGATGTTAGGAAACACTGACTACAGTAGTTACTATTTAATAACAAAAATTTACTCCCAAAATACAAAATTAGATGCATTTCACTCATAACACTTTTTCTGGTCTTCAAATAAGACGCAACCACAAGGAGCAAAACAGTTGAAATGAAGTCACTTTAGTAAGCATTAACAAAGGTACCAAAATTTAATCTCCAGGTTATATAAACAGAGATAGACAGCTGTGCTCTAACACTAATCTATGGTCAAGCAGCTGTCATGTATCTCCTTTTGTTCTCCATTTGTTTGTCAACCATACTCACAAATTGGTAACTAAAAAGTAGACAGTTATCTGTGATTAAAGGTCTAAGTTTTAAAATGAATCCATATAGCCTTCTTAAAAACACTATCCAACCAGGTGCAGTGGCGCTGCCTATAATCCCAGTGGTTCAGGAGGCTGAGGCAGGAAGATCACAAGTTCAAAGCCAGCCTCAGCAAAAGTGACGTACTACACAAAGCAACTCAGTGAAACCCTGTCTCTAAATAAAATACAACATAGGGCTGAGGACGTAGCTCAGTAGTCGAGTGCCCCTGAGTTCAATCCCCAGTATCCTAGTACCACCCCCCCCCCAAAAAAAAATATCCACAGTGAGATTTTCACATCTTGTGTAGCAAAACAAAAGATATTGCTTTGATATCACGAAATAGATTAAAGAGAAATGTTGGTATACTTTACTTGAAAACTCACATAGATACCAATCTCCCATTTATTCCAAAGATCAAATTTCAATGTTGACTCTGACCTGATATTAAACAGAATAATAGCCCCTTTGATAGCAACTAACAAAGTTACCAGTCTAAATCTATCAAATATCTACTGCTCATGTAGGCTTAAACACAATCCCCTTAGTATCCAGGTACAATTAACACCATACAGATACCAAGACAATGTTCTGTAATTCATTTTAAAAAAATATTTTTAAAAAAGCTGTTTCACTTTCTAAGCAGCAAACCGTTCAACCTTTGGTGATATGAAACTAAATAGCAATACTAAAAGAACAAGGTCATATTATCTTAGGCCTCCAAAAAATCTAAGCCTTGGCTGGGGATGTAACACAACAGTAGAGCACTTGCTAATTCTCAAGGCCCTGGGTTCAATCTCCAGCACCTCAAAAGATAAAAGAAAAAGGAAAATCTGAACTTAATACCCCTCTGCCTCCTACAATATGGCAGAGAAGGTAACAACGCTATCATGGGAAAACTCCATTTGAAAGACTTATTTTTTAAAAAAAGAAGTAGTCATTATAAGATATTAGGGAAAAAGAGGTGTAGAATTTAGCTTTACATTGAAATTAACTAAAATAGGGGCTGGGGCTGGGGCTGGGGCAGAGCAGTAATGCACTTGCCTGGCAAGTGTGAGGCGCTGGGTTCAATCCTCAGCACTGCATATAAATAAGTAAAAATAAAGGTCTATCAACAACAACAACAAAAAAATTTTTTTAAATTGACTAAAATAATGTCTATCTGGTGGCATATATGTTATAAAAAAGTTTGTCAAGATCCCTTTTTCAGGCTGGGGCTGTATCTCAGTGGCAGAGCACTTGCCAACATGTGTGAGGCACTGGGTTTAATCCTTAGCATCACCCACCCCCCACCATAAAAATAAATAAATAAATAAAGTCATGCTGTCCATCTATAACTACAAAAAAAAATTTTTTTTTAATCCTTTTTCTCTAAGTTTGTACAATGGAAAATTGAGAGGACTATTTTAAAGCAATATTCTCCCAGATAAAGCAAACTAAAAACACTGGACTAAAGAAAGATTGCAATTCCTTAATAAGACCTTCATAAATACCTTGGTTCAAAACTACTTGTTAACTACTTAAATATTTCTCTAAAATCCATGAGGAGAACTGGGCGTAGTGGTGCACACCTATAATCCCAGCAGCCTGGGAGGCTGAGGCAGGAAAATCATAAGTTCAAAGCCAGCCACATCGAGGCACTAAGCAACTCAGTGAGACCCCGTCTCCAAATAAAATACAAAATAGGGCTGGAATGTGGCTCAGTGGTTGAGTATCTCCGAGTTCAATCCCCAGTACTAAAATAAATATATAAATAATATATAATAAATATCTGGAAAACTTAAGATACTTCTTACTCTTGCATATATTAGTAAATAAAAGACAAATTCGATCATTAATATAAATGTGTGTCATAATCAAATCCATCAGTCAACTTCCAAATGATTTTATATATATATATATATGTCAATATAAAAACCTTTAAATAAATTATAAACACTGTTTTTTCCAGGACCAACTAAAACACATGTCCAATATTTTTTTATCTAGGGGCAGGAGAGTGTGTCTGGCTCTGTGGTGTATAATGCTTGCCTAGCCGGTACCAGGCCATGGATTTGATTCCTAAGTCCACCTATGAGAGATACCACAGTACTTTTAACTTTTACTTACTTGGGGTTTTCCTCTAAGTGACAACGTATAAATATTCATTGGTTAGGAAGTCAACTTGCTGACTACATCAGATTATATAACTTACTTGTGGAAGCCACAGGAATGTTGGGAAAGTTGGTGGTGCTGGTAGCATTTGACTCAGATGGGGCTAAAAGAGCTGGGGTACTGTATGTCTCCGTCGAAGCACGATTACTTGGTGGATGCTGGATGGTTTGAATTGAATGTCCTTCTGTGGATAATGATGGCTGTCCCTCAAAGTCATGAACATATTCATCCTTCACCAACATACTTGGTGGAGCTATGCAGAAAATTAAATATTTTTTAATTTTGCAAGCTTCTATTCCCAGGGGGAGAAACATATTTGCAAATAATATGACAACCCTAAAATCAACTATTCTATAAATATTCTATCTTTCAATCTTTGAAAAAATCTATCCCATATAAACACCAATTAGTTATATGACTATTACTTTTTCATATTTTAAAAGCATACTACTGTATCAGCAAAAACCATTTAGAGGTATTAGGATATTAGGATCAATTATCTTTTATCAATCTGTCTCTGACATTTGAAGCTAGACTATATTCCAACAGCCTCCACAGCAATGGTCCTAAAGAGGCAATCCTCAGTTTCTTAGTAAATCCAGAAGTAATAATCATCTAAACAAATAACATGAAGAAGGTAAAAACCAAATGCCTGGCAAAATATTTATTCAACTGAAAAGACCAATTACTTAGCTCTTTTTTAATTTCATACTGTAAAGATATGAGTGGGATCTGATAGCTTATTCAATTTCAGGATCTAGTATAAGTAGTTAAGTAGTTAAGTAACATATTTCTTAAAATTGAAATATATAAATATCCCCAGTAAGTTTAGAAACAAACAAAAATTCTTTAAAATTTCCTTCTAGAAACCCAATCCATAAAAGGAAATTTGATAAACGTGTGGTATGAAAAAACTCACTTATCAACATCTTTCACTTGTGTGGTTACAATTTAATAAGTAAACTAGAGTCTAGTTGAAAAAGCATTATCCTTTTCCATAACCAACTTACATTTAAAAAAATGCATTAACGGGCTGGGATTGTGGCTCAGGGGTAGAGCATTTGCCTCACATGCATGAGGCACTGGGTTCAATTCTCAGCACCACATAAAAATAAATAAAATAAAGGTATTGTGTCCATTTAAAAAAAATGCATTAACAAACTAAGGAATGCTTTGTTGCATTAAAAAAAAAGAAGAAAAACTGAATTGTATTCATAATGTCAATTTTCTACCTAGAAACTCCGCATTTAGCTTTGGGCTACTGTTTTGGGGTTTGCTTTCTCTCTAGCAAAACCATCCCTTACTCTCTTCTGAACTACTTCAGAATGTAGTTCAATCCAGTGAACAATCAGTTAGAGCAATCAGTTATAATTCACAAAGACACTGCCCTTTCCACTAAGAATCAGCATATCTTTCCCCATCTTTCAATCTTTGGAAAAAATCTATTACACATAAATTTTCAGTTAATTATGTGACTATTTTTATTTTTACTTGAGACTACTTCAAAGCAGTAAGAATAATCCATTGTTCAAATTTCTATGTACAACGTCTTAAAAAGCATTTTAATGTATCAAAAGGAAGATGTTGGTATTTTTAAGACCCATTAATTCCACTCCAAAGTTTCTCTTTAGAAAAGTCTATGGAAATAAAAAGATAATCAAAATGATACATCATCATGTATCAGCAAAAAATTGAACGTAACCACTCACAATTAATGTTGGCAAAAGTATAAAAATAAGACAAAGAAAAAATGTGGCATAAAATGACTATTGTCCACATTTAGTCAGCCTTTTATTATACCCTTCGACAAAGTCTGCGATTTTCTTCATACAGATCCTAACATCTCTATTTAAATTCTTGGACACTTTAGCATTTTTCTTGTCATCATGATTGAGATCTTTTTGCTGATCCCGCATATAAGGACAACATTACTGATTGGAGGCTATAACCAGTCAACTTGCTACTCACTGCTCATTTTTCAGTTAACCCTGAAATGGCTTAATGGGCAATCATAACATCCCCTTAGATAGTTAGGTCTTAAACATTCTTCTTGCCTTACTAAGGTGGCTCAACTCTCCTAAGTGTAAGTTTGGAACTTCTACAGATCTATGGATTTTTTAATCAAATAACCTAAAATATATATATCGTAGGTAAAACGATAGTATCAACAAGGATAGATGTATCTGCGATATATTTTTGCCAAGAGAAAAAAAAGAAAGTTTCAAATCATTATTGTATGCTGTGGTCATATACATGTTTTAAAAATCATACACTATAAATAAAAAATCAAGGTCCAGAACAGTGAGTACAGTATGCTTTTTGTGTAAGAAAGGAGGGAAATAATACATGTATTTTTTGCATAAAGAAATCCTAGAAGGAAACACCAGAAACTAATAAAAGTGATTACCTGAGGTAGGGGGGAATGGGGGCAGGGGTGGGAGCACTTCTTTTCACTGTATACCTTTTTATAGTATTTTGATTTATGGACCATGTATTGCCTATTCAAAAAAATAAAATTAAAAAAACATATAGTATATATTTTTTAAAGTCCAGAAAAACAGACACCAAACTCTTAAGTACTTCTCTTATGGGCTAGCAGTCAATAAGTTCATTAATTGAAAAAAATATTTATTGAGCACCTATGTTCCAGGTACTATTCTAGCACTAAGGATATAGCCATAAACAAAACAAATATCCCTTACTTTATAGAGCTAACAATTTTTTGTAATATTTTTCTGTTTTTTAAATATCTAATAGCAAGCACATATTACTCCACCTCCTCCTTTCTAATACTGGGCCACATCCTTGACCTCTTCAGGCACCAGTCTCTTCTTCTAGTAAAGTGTTAGATAATCCCATCTACAATGTGGGAGCACTGAGAGAATGATAACACAATATTCACAAATTATTTTGCTCAGTACCTGATAAACGAGTACTCAGTATTTGCTATTATTACTCAATCATATTTTTAGAATATTTGTACATATAAAGTGACTACAAAATGTTCTATGAGGGGTAAAGAATGTACTCTCTGTAGATGACAGAGAGGCTGAAACCAGTGGACTTGCCCTAGGTCTTCGATCTTTATCTTTAGCAGGCAGGTCACAATAATGTCTGATGTTACTTACTATTTCTTTTTTCAACCAGACTATGAACTGGAGAAAACATGGTTTATTTATCTTAGTGTTCCTGGAACCTAACAAGTACCAGGCAATACATGCTCATTAAATATTTATAAAATGAATGCACAGGTCAATATGGTCATGGAAAACTTCATGAAAGAGATGAGACAGGCTAGAAACAAGTACCACATGACCCCCAACTCACAAGTGAAAGAATTGTTCCATTTTCTCAACTTTTAGTTACCTGGCCATGTATTATTTCTTTATCCAAAACTACAATGAACTGTGAGAAATATCTTTTTCTGAGAAATACCATTTTCTGAGGACATAAGCCACAAGACAGCCTTCGCATACCACTAGAGGGCTCCACAAGGCTGAATAAGCCTTAGAGTCACTAAAAAAAAGGCATCAATCCACACAACCCCACCAATAGCAAGCAACTCAGAACAACATTAATATTAGGACAGAGAAAGCTTCAAAATTTGAACCCCCTCACAACCACACCCACTGAGATATTCTAAAGTTTTCACTGCAGTCTTCTAATTCCTCACATGCACTGAGCTAAATGCTTTAGTTCTCCAAAAACACTGATGGGAGAATGGTGAAGATCTGATAGATGTTCACTTTCAAAGAACAGAACTGACATGATAACATCTTTGTGGCAAAAAGGCAGGGCATTAAGCAATCTTAAAGCAACCATTGCCAGACCAAGCCACACTGCTCCCTTTACCAACCCATACTTCTCAGAAATCTGTACAACAGTTAACAATGGCACACCACAGGACACTACAGTCTTCCTCTATTATTAATGACATGGAAGAAAAATAAAGAATTAAAAACAAGTAGGCTTACATGCTCTTCCCAAAATTTAATGTCACATGATATTTCTGAACTATCACTAGATTTTACAACAAAAAAAGGTTCCAAGTGACTAAAATGCCTCCATAATAGCATACCTTCTAAGATGAAGATGGCTCTTATAAGATTTTATTTCATTAACAAGTTCTAAGTAAAAGAGCTAAAGATATATCCATATGTATCAACACTTAAAATACAAAAACACTCCAACTGGATTTTTTTTTCCTCACCTTCAGGGAATTTTTCTTTCTTAATACAGGATTAGATCATCTGTGATTAGCATATATTTTCAAATAACCTTGTTTTAGTTACAAGTGAAATATAAAACAAGATATTTCAAGATACATAACATATTTGAAATATAACAAGATTAAAAAAAACTAACATGTAGTTTTAAATCATTCTTCACATTTGATCACTCATGAAAGTTATGTTGAAATGCAGAAAAACTAAGATACTGGTATTTTTAAAGGATATGTTTCACATAACTTCCAATTATCACATATTATAGGTATACTACACCCATTTAAACTGGCTCTACAAATTTTCTTACAAAATAGAGCCAGTTTTATCAAATTCAAAAAATATTAAATTGATGTATTAATGTTTTTGGCGCCGCTTCAAATTCAAAGAGCCAATAGCCAATTTAAATCCAGTTTTAAACACTAATACAAACAGAAAAAAAAATCTACATTTCCAAAGTAGTTCCTTTTTTTCTTGTTAATATCACTGGCACCTATACAAACTACTTCACATGAATCCCAAAAAAAGAGCAGACAGGCAAAAAGAAAACAAAGAAAGTTACAAGAAACAGATTACCTACCATTACTCTGCAGTGTTAATCCTGAGAGGTCTTTATTTTTTAAAGGGAAAAAAAATAAAACATTAATCATTATCATGAAGATATGTTCCATTATAGAATGTAAATTTATGTCAGAGATTACAAACCTTCATAAACATTTCAATTCAGGAAGTTTCATAAGTGACATCTAATAATATATAAACTAACTATTTGAATTTATAATGTTTTCTTATTTTTCAAAACCAATGTGCTAAATGAGCAAAATATAAACTATACTTAGTTTTCACATTCAAAATACAAGTTTTGTTTCTAAGTTCAAAATTAAATACTTATATTTCATTAAAAATATTTGATTCTTGGGGCTGGGGTTGTGGCTCAGCGGTAGAGCGCTTGCCTAGGACATGCGAGGGCCTGGGTTCGATCCTCAACACCACATAAAAATAAATAAAGGTATTATGTCCAACTACAACTAAAAAAATAAATAAATATTTTTAAAAATATATTTGATTCTTTAACCTTAAAGTTCTTGGTAACTCCTAAATACTTAATTTAACTTAGAAGAACTAAAACCCTATTGGGGTCTTTTCCCTTTATGCACTTAACGATAGAAGTAAAGTCTACTTACCAATTCCAGGTGATACAACTCGTTCATAGTGATATGGATTCACACAAACACTATCACATTTTAAGTCAAATGCATACTGACAATATTTAACATGCTTTAATTCATTTTTGTGAAGATCAGGCCACCTCCACAAACGGGCATAGATTACATGAGGAAATCCTTTCCGACCAGCCACCTGGGGAAAATAAACAATCATTTATTAAGCACTGGTTATATATTAAGAATCAGCTGTGTCCCAGGTTATACAAGGAACTTTACAGATGTTTTCATTTAATTTTCAAAATCCAACAAAGTCAGGATTATAACACTGTAAAATATACATTTGGTTTTGTTCCATTTCCTGGCATACAATTCCTAAAATCTTAGAATCTTTAAAGTGATGGGTTTCATATGCTAATGAGTTGGCTGAAGACTGGAAGACTAGGTAGCTGCAGGATGGGTCTGTTTATTGGAAAGACTAAGGCAGCATAAGAGGGTTGGAATTCAGCCCCATTCCCCAACCTCTGAGAGGAGAAAAGAGCTATAAATAGAGTTGATCACCAATAGACCAATGATTTTAATCAATCATACCTTTGTAATGGAGCCTCCATTAAAAAAAAAAAAAAAAGAACGGGGTTGGAAAAGCTGAACATGTGGAGGTTCCTGAAGGGTGGTGGGCCTGGAGAGGGCTAAGAAGCTTACCTCACCTTATGCATCTCATCCTTCACAACAAACCAGTAAATGTGTTTCCCCGAGTTCTGTGAGCCTCTCAAAGCAAATTAATCAAACCCCAGGAAGGGGCTATAGGAACCTGATTTATAGCTGGTTGGTAAGAAGCACAAGTAAAACAACGTGAGGTTTGTGACAGCATCTAAAGCCAGGAGAGGAGGGTGGCAAGTCTTGGTAACTGAATCTTCAACCTGTGGGTCTGCCACTATCTCCAGATAAGAGAATGTAAGAATTAAACTGAATTAAAGGAAACCCAGCTGATGTCCCCTGCAGAATTAATTGCTTGTTTGCTTACTGGTGTGAAGAAACCTTTACACAATTTTGGGTCACAGAAGTGATTAAGCATTGTGAGCAGAGAACAAGAAAATCTGAGTTTGAGCAGTTTTTTCCCCTATATTCAGAATATCATAACCCTCATTTCATAAAAGAGAAAAACCACAGCTCAAAATAATTCCATCAGCTCAAAATAATTCCATCATGGTCACACATCAGTTAGAATTTAATCCTACATACAATTTTAAGACTTATATTCAGATTTCTAAAATGCAAAAAAGTATGCTGGGTGCAATGGCACATGCCTGCAATCCAAACAATTTGGGAAGCTGAGACAGGAGAATCACAAGTTTCAGGCCAGCCTTGGCAGCTTAGCAAGACCCTGTTCCAAAATAAAAAAATGAAAAGGGCCAGAGATGTAGCTCACTGGTAGAGCACCTCTGGGTTCAATACCCAGTACCCCAATAATAAAATGAAATACAATAGTACAAAATTTGTTATTGAAACTATGACCAAAATCTACAAATAAAATTTTTAAATCTAACAATATAAGATTTCTGTAAGTATCTTAAAGTATATATTATGTAGTTCCATATGAAAACTGTCCAGTGAAATAATGTGGTACCACTAAAACATGATACGAGATCTTTAAATGGTAAAAAAATAATGTATAATTCAGATTTTAAATATGTATACGATACCAAAAATGGTTATAAGAATGAATATCAGAGTGCTAAAGGCAGTTCTCTCAGAGTATGGGACTTCTTCTGCTTTCTATTTGTATATTCCAAATTTTCTTCATTGAACTATTTTTTTGTTTGTTTGTTTGTTTTGTGGTGCTGAGGATTAAACCCAGGGCTTTGTGCATGTGAGGCAAGCATTCTACCAACTGAGCTATATCCCCAGCCCTTCACTGAACTATTTTTGAGTAAGATTAATTAAAAACTTTTTAAATATACCCTTCATACATTCCCATAATGCATGCATACTGGTATAGAATGTGAAGTATCTAAAGAAACGGACCTCACATTAAATATCCTACAGTAACTCTAAGAGGAAACAAGAAAGTTTTTAATCCACCACCACAGAAGACATAGAAAAACTCTAAGACTAACCTGAAGTCTTCCATCCAATGTTCTCTGTATTGTAACACATTTACTAGGATGAGCTCCATTTGTAGTTATAGCTGTTATTAAAGAATCCAACTCATCTTTCTTCTCCTTCAGCTTCTTTACCAAACTTTCAATTGCTCTTTTTGCAAATGTTTCACTTTCTCCACCTTGTCTATGGCACATCAAACTATGTACAATGCTCAGGCAGGCATCATTACTTGTTGGTGTATTTGTAATAGACATATTGTCCATTTGTTCAAGTTTTTTCTTTTAAATCAAATCTCTCTCCAATATCTGGAGCAATTTTGATCTTTTGGAGGCAGTGAAAAACAATGGCTAACGTTGCAAGGAAAATTGTTAGACATCTGGTGTTCAGGATAACCTGAAAAAATAAATAGAGAGATATGAGAACACATCTCAAAGGTAGATTCAGTTATCTGGGAAAAGACAAAACTGCTGTAGCTAAGTCAAAGACAATGCACATAATTAAAAACTGATGCTAAGAGTTTTAAATAGCTTAATTAAAATGTTGCTGCTTTTTTTATTTTTATTTTTTAGTTATTGATAGATCTTTATTTTATTTATTTATATGTGGTGCTGAGAATTGAACCCAGTGCCTCACCATGCTAGGCAAGTGCTCTACCAAATACAGTCCCAGCCCCAAAGTTGCTGCTTTTGACATTCCAAAATATTAAAGTTAGGCCTTCTCCTTAGTATAAAGTCATGCTTAATCAAGTCTTATCACACATACTAGTCAGTTGTAAAATCTTTTTTGGTGGGGGAGGGAGTACTGAGAATCAAACTCAGGTCTTCAGAACCTGCTAGATTCATGCTCTTCCACTGAACTACAACCGCAACCCCCTAAAGTAAAATTGTGACTTATGTATGTCTCCTTTCTATTCTCTCTGTCACTATTAGTTTTAAGTCTTCTTAGAATTTTTATTATCACTTGGTATTTAATACTTGCTTCCCTCTAATCTTACTTCTTTTAATAAATGCCTGCCTCCTCAACTCATAAGAAGCAACTTTTCATGTATTTGAATACTTATCACTTAACCATATTCAACAAATAAATTTTGAAGGCACTCTTGCCAGTTAATCAAAGATTACTTGCATGGGGGGTTTTGGAATCAGAGATCTGGATTAGAATCCCAGCTTTCACACTGAGAGCAGACAAATGAAGCAACTTAAACTCTCTTAACTGGAGTATACAAAGCTCCAAGGAGGAAAAAAAAAAAAAATCTATGTAAAGTGTATGGCACATAGTGCTCAGCAGAAAGTACCTATTGCTTATTTAATAAGCAATAATTTAATTGTCTTAAAAGATTATCCTAAAACACATTATGTTTTCTTCTTATTAAAACTTGTCAAAGAAAATGTAGGATGGGAATGACAGAAGTAAACCACTGATCCAGACAACTCAAAGGCATATTGGAGCCAGGCAAATCATATAAATGAACAAAATGTGCCAGGTGTAAAGAAAAAGTATTGACCCAGCAGCTTGGGAGGCTCAGACAGGAGAATTGCGAGTTCAAAGCCAGCCTCAGCAACTGCGAGACACTAAGCAACACAGTGAGACCCTATCTCTAAATAAATTACAAAAAATAGGGCTGGGGATATGGCTCAGTGGTCAAGTGCCCCTGAGTTCAATCCCTGGTACCAAAAAAAAAAAGAAAAGAAAAAGTATTGATGATTACAAGGGTTTGCCAATTGTGTTTAAGACCACAGCTGCTAGATCTTCAACTGAAAGAGAAACCAAAAAAAAAAAAAAATGCCCATAGGTATATGAAATTTCACTTTCAGGCAATAGTAATTTATCACAGGGAAAATGAGGGAGAGGAAGCATAAGGAAACTGCCATGAATGCCAAACAAAATACAATTTCAACTCAAATCTGACCCAACAGAATGACCAGTTTGAAATGTGAAAGACAAACTCACTAGAATTTTATTTCTAGATCGCAGTCTAGTGATCAGGGACTGTACTTGTCTTCACCACTATATGCCCAATTCCTAGGACAAGTAAGTGCTCTATGTTGTCAAATGATTCCATTTCTGTATGTGCTTTCAAATGCTTGCTCATGCTTTTAGGCACTGACCGGTTACTGGTGAATGAACCCAGAGCCTCCCACATGCTAGCTAGGCAAACCATCTACTACTGATCTATCTACCCTTTTTATTTTGAAACAAGATCTTTATTAGTTGCCCAGGCTGGCTTCAAAATCGTGATTCCCCTGCCTCAGCCTTCCAAGTAGCTGGAAAGTATGTACCACCACACCACACTCAGCCAGCTATTTCTTTGGCCTAAAATATCTAGTCCCATTTTATCCACTCAATAAAATCCTAGCCATCCTTCAAAGTGCAGCTTGTTTAAATTTCTCCAAGTTTTTCCTTACATGTTGTCTCCTTTCCTCTCAATCCCCCAAAATTACTTGCTTCCCCAGTATGTTCATTATGTATGTGTTCCTTGCTGTGTAATTTAACCCTCAACTTTAAATACACCCTATTAGAGTTTAACATGTATTTTTTGATTATATCCTACAAATCTAGAAGCTCAAGAAAACATTCTCTCATCTTAGAAATTCCTAGCCACAGGTATAGTTCCTGCCTGACATATACAAGGCAAGTGTTTGTAAATTGACTATATCATTTTTATTCTGTGGTATTTTTTGAAAATAATTTTTGAATATTGAAAATATTATTTTTTGTATTCATATTATATCCCAAAACATTTGTACCAATTTATAACACAATTAAAGTGTTTCAGTATAAACACTTCACCATCAAATGTCACCATCTCTAAAATTTATTCTATTTGGGGGCTTAATGATATTGCAAAGGTGTACTTTAATTACAAGTTTCTTTCAAGACAAATGAAAATGACATTGTTTTCTTAAATACAGATGTCTCCACATGTGACTTCATTATAGTTCTGGTGCTTGAAACATATTTTAAAATTTTAAAACTTTTTTTTTTTTTTAAGAGAGAGAGAATTTTAATATTTATTTTTTAGTTTTTGGCGGACACAACATCTTTGTTTGTATGTGGTGCTGAGGATCGAACCCGGGCCGCACGCATGCCAGACGAGCGCACTACCGCTTGAGCCACATCCCCAGCCCTAAAACTTCTTTATATAGAAAAATAATACCAGCAGGGATGTGAGGATGTATCCCTCCATTATAGCTCTGAATTATGATAGACATAAACACAATACTGTTATAAACAAAATTATATGTTCCAATTAAAGCTCTAGCACCATTGAATAGATGTGTTATCTCTCAATTGTCATTATATCATCTATAAAATGGGAACAAAATCTGCCCTGCCCACTTTACAAGACTTAATATTGTAATCAAATACAACATAAAAGCAATCTTGAAACCATAAATTGACCAACTCAACAAAAACACTGAATCTATCATGTGCAAAACACCACAAAGATAGGCAAACAAAACCAGAGAGTGGTACTTAACTGTATCAGACCATATCCCATTTTTGTAACAAATTATTTATACCGCCTCAGTAGCTCTCTTGTGGTAGCCCATAATCCCAGCAGCTCAGGAGGCTGAGGCAGGAGGATGACAAGTTCAAAGCCAGCCTCAGCAAAAGCAAAGTGCTAAGCAACTCAGTGAGACCCTGTCATTAAATAAAATACAAAACAGGGCTACAGATGTGGCTCAGTGGTCTAGTGCCCGAGTTCAATCCCTGGTACCTTTCCCCCACCCCCCAAAAAAATGAAAAATTCTAACTTACTTACACCTATTTTTAAAAATCTAGCAATGTCCTGATTGTAAGTTCAAGGATGAAAAGATCAATATACAATAAAAATGTATATTTCAATATGCAGGCATATCAACTAACTTACAATGTATACTAAAGAAATTAGAGACTGGTGATGTAACTCCGTGGTAGGGTACATGATTAGCATGCCCAAAGCCCTGGATTCAATCCCCAGCACCAAAAAAAAAAAAAGAAAAGAAAGCAGGAAGTTTAAATGCTTGCATTTAAATACAGAATCATAAATATGACAGCTACAAATTCAGACCTTCTAAGATATATTTATCTTATATATATAATGATGTGTTGGTGACCCAGACTGTCCCAAACAGTGAACTTTTGATAAAGTTCCAAAGAAAAGAATTTTAATTAAGAAACTGAGTTAAAGGGCTGGGGATATAGCTCTGTTGGTAGAGTGCTTGCCTTGCATGCACAAGGCCCTGGGTTCAATCCCCAGCACCATGAAAAATAAAAAGAGGAAATGAATTAAGAAAATTTAATTCCTAGAAAATTGGATATATATTAAGACAGAATTGAATTCTAGACTAATTTCCTCCTACACAAATTTCTGGGACATTTTAAAGGCTTGTGGGATGCAAGATAATTCTTCACTGTCTCCCCCAGACCCCAGCCATGAAGCTCTCACAAATGACCACAATGCCCCTTCAGGACAAATTACAACTCCATTAAAAATTACTGATCCTGGCTGTGCATGATGGCTCACACCTGTAATCCCAGTAATTCAGAAGATTACAGGTTCAAGGACAGCCTCAGCAACTCAGCAAGATCCTGTCTCAAATTTTTAAAAAATAAATTAAAAAAAAAAAATTTAAAGGAAATGTGGATGTAGCTCAGTAGTTAAGTGCCCCTGAGTTCAATCCCAAGTACTAAAAAAGAAAAAAAAAAAAAAAAGAATTACTGATACTGGTCAGCATGGATGTATGCATATAGTCCCAGGGACTCAAGAGGCTGAGGATGGACAATCATTCCTGGAGCCCAGAAGTTAAGACCAGTATGAACAATACAATGAGATTCCTTTTTTTTTTTTTTTTTTGGGGGGGGGGGTAGGCAGGCTACTGATATTGGGGATGGGGGTATCAATGGTAGAATGTGTCCTTTGAATAACAAAGAACTTGTGTTCAATCTTCACACCCAAAGGAAAGAAAACCTTATCTAGAATATCTAAACATATTATCACCAAAAAAAAAAAAAAAAAGCTAAAAGAGATGTATAATTCAAGAGATTTGCAACTATAAATGAGAAAGCATGAAAGGGTTATAGATAAACTAAGTCTCATCATAATATCAGGATAGAGCAGGTTTTGTTAGTTACAACCAACCCCCAATTCATCAATAGCAAAAGAGAAAAAAAAATCATCAATAGCTTAAAACAAAGATTTTATTTTCTGCTTATGCTAATTGTTCATCACAGATCACCTGGTGGCACTGTTCACTGTCATCTCTTTTAGGGATTACACTGATAGAGGCTCCAACTCTACATATGTCCTTAAATAGGAGGGAAGGAATAAGACAGCTCATACACTGTCTTTTAAAGACTATTAGTTATGCTCAAATTTGACTGGGTTAGTCAAATGGCCATGCCAGTAA